AGGGAGGTTGCTCAATTGGTTCATCTCTCAATCCATTTGCAGCGCGCTTACATTTTCGACCTCTACGGGCCATACCTGCATAATATTTGAGTGAAGAAAGGGACAAATGTAAATGTTTAAAATTTATTGAAGCAAACACTCTACCTATAGTTTCTTTAACTTACAAATGCTATTATAAAGAAGTACTACTTAAACAATAAACTGGCATGACAAGTAACAAATGGCATTCTTCAAGAATAAACCAGGGGAAGACTATGGAGCTGTCAACAGAACAGAGAAACAAATGGGGAATATACGATTCAGTGCAGCAACTAATTGGAAATGAAATGAAAGCTACATGCTTAAGTGACTGCAAGAATATACATGGGAAATGCTTTGATCTACATCCTTTCAGCATGAAAGATATGCAGAATTACTACCGCTAGACAGGAAACTTTTTCCATATTGTTCTGAGAATGATGCCTATGATCAAAAGTTGGTATGCTTATGCTCAATGAGATCGCAAGTAGAAGAGTCCACGTAATTTTAACTTCAGTAATGGAGCAAACTAATAAATGATTGTCTTGAATTAACGAAATATACTTGGCCATGTGATAACCAAAAATTGCAAAGGATAATGTATTCTACCAACAAATACAACTCTTGGTGTTGTATGTTTAGGGGTGGCAATCGGGTCGGTTATGAAGCTCTACTGAATACTTTTATTTCCAGATTCTGACATGGTTCTGCATTTATCAAGATCACTAATTCTATTGTTCTAAGATAGTGTCTCATCTAAACAAGAGCTCAAGCTTTACGTAGCATTGACGCTTCCAAACCAAATTACTTCTTTTTTTGTTTCCATAGCCACATCCACAGTTAAGGGTTGACACTTAACAGTAAATGCGCAAACACTTTATCCAATACAATTGTAACAATACAAACAATACAAAGGCGTAGAACAGGAAGGAGACGAAGAGTATCACGGTGAAAGACTGAAAACGAGAACCCATCACCAAAAACAGATGGTTGAAATTGTACATTCAGTTCACAGTAGCAGTCTCCATTCGACCAGGCTCACCTAGAAATGTACTTCTCAGAAACGTGCTTTTCACACCGCCACCACCCCCCAAAGCTTTTCACACCACCACCACCCCCCAAAGCAAACACTCTACCTAGAAATGTGCTTCTCAGAAACGGAGAAGATGCTTGTCAGAGATGGGAATCGAATAGCCTAAAAACTAAATCTACCATGCAATGCAAGAACATGTCTACCATGCAATGCAAAATTAGACACAAAATACTGAAATTACCTCAAACTATGGCTTGAATCTCTAACTTCTCGGTTTCCCCAAGCTTCAAGATCTGAACTCCACCCTCCACCCACCACCCAAGTTTTGAAGCCCTAATTTCTGATTTCTTGCCACCAAGCCAACACAACAGCCGAATTAGGGATTTGCCTGGTGCGACAACCAAGTTACCCAAATGGGTGCGAGTTCATGGACAGCAATTGACTCAAATTGGTGGTGCGAGCTTGAAACAGAGAGAGAGGACAAAGGCAAAGGACAACAAGAGAGGGAGAAGATATCTGAAATAAAGGCGGTACTAATGACGCCAAAGTAAATTAGTCAAGCCTCTTGAATTTTTCAATTTGTCGCGCTACTAATAGCAATTTTTGTGTGTTTGGGCAAAATTTTGTTAAAGCTATATAACAACTAAAAATTTGGTTAAAGCTATATACAATATAATATAACAACTAAAAATATAAAGGCTAAAAATCTTGTTAAAGCTATATACAATATAATATAACAACTAAAAATTTTGTTAAAACTATATAACAACTAAAAATGTAACAAATAAAAATTTTACAAGAGCTATATACAATATAATATAACAATCAAAAAATTTGTTACAGCTATATAACAAATAAAATTTTGTTAAAGCTATATACAATGTAATATAACAACTTAAAATATAAAAATAATTAAAAATTTTGAGAAGCTAACAAAAAACATTCTTTTAATCAAAATGTTTTCGCTTACTCAATTTATTTTATGCTGCTAGCAATTATGTACGGCTTGTAGTCTAACAAGCCATTGAAAGGATCGAATTAGTTTATGAAACAAGAAAATTAACTTGTGAATACATGAAGTTTCCATTGACAAACATTGGGATTAGAATTGATTGAACATAAACATTGAATATATATATATATTCAATGTTTTCAATTCCAAAGCAATTGCCATTGAACTTTGTGTTAATTAGAAACTTCCTATCACTTACAAGATCTTACTATTGAACTTTTCAATGATTAACCTTAGGCTTACACTTACAACGCATTGATTGAACATAAACATATACATATATATATTCAATGTTTTCAATTCCAAAACAATTGCCATTGAACTTTGTGTTAATTAGAAGCTTACTATAACTTACAAGATCTTACTATTGAACTTTTCAATGATTAACCTTATGCTTACACTTACAACGCATTGATTGAACATAAACACATATGTATATATATTGAATGTTTTCAATTCCAAAGCAATTGCCATTGAACTTTGTGTTAATTAGAAGCTTACTATCACTTACAAGATCTTAATATTGAACTTTTCAATGATTAACCTTAGACTTACACTTACAACGCATTGATTGAACATAAACATATAGTATGATCGGTTTGATCGATTCGATCGTGCTTGATCGGTTCGATCGTGTCACCTTTTCACTTTGAAGGATAATCTAAAATTGTGACTAAACCGATTAAATTCGATCAAAGATCAGTTGGACTAGAAAGCTCTATCGGAATTAACTTTTTGTATTGTTATTGGTTTAAAAAATAATTTTTTCATGGTATTAAAAAATTATTTAAGAAATTTATAGATTAAAGTTTCAAAATATTTCTATTGATAAAAAATTAGACCTCGGGTTATTGGGAAAAAGAATTGGCCATAATATAATGATTCACAAATGTAATATTACAGCTTACAATTAATGGAATTGCTTATAAAATAATGACCAGTATTTATGCAGCCCATTGGGCTCTTAAAATGAGTAATGGGTTCCTTGGAAAGTTGGATAGTTTTATGTTTGGTCTGAAATGATTTGCACATTCCGTACGTTGCCAATTGCCTCGATTGCCAATTGTTGTCATGCCATTAAAAGAAAAATCATTCCAATACCATTTTTATGAATAAGACTGACGATTACTAACCAAGACTAGAAAGACCAAGTATCCCTTAAAGAGGCAAATTAATACACTAGTTTTAACTAATAGCACCAAGTCTTTTATCACATCTGTCAGAAGGCTTAACATGACACCGAGAGCACTAAACTCAAAGCTTTGTAAATGCCTTCAAAACTAAGAATGTCGGTCATATTAGTAAAATACAAAAAAAAAATTGCAAATTGATCGACAAAAGGAAATAAAGCCTAGGCCTAGCAATTGAAACAGAGAAGAATAGGGCCAGTAAGCTTCAAAGCTATAAAAGATTCTAAATCAGATTATATTGGGACAAATCAACTTCAATCCCAAGTCCATTCTCACGAACCCAACTAATTTCCTCATTTTCATTCTCAACAACAGGATTGCCAACATCACTTTGCAAATATGTCTCAACATCCATGATTGTGCCCATGTTATATCCAGCTCTTGCAGTGGTAGAGATAACACTTGCCAATCCTTATCAGTTGGATCTTCCACATAAAAAACCTGTGATGCTTGTGAAGCGAGTATAAATGGCTCAACATGAGGCCTCACGTTTGCAAAATTGACTAAAGTAAACCCATCAGCATCTTGTTTCATTCTCGAACCATTTGATATCCAATCACATTCGAATAACACCACCCGATGACCTCCGTAAATTAATTCAATCATATTTTTCAAGACGCCGAAGTAAACTAGTTCACTCAAAACTGGATTTTGATCCTTTATACTTGCAAAACTGGATGTTGTTGCATTGACTGTAACACCACTATTCTGCGTTTTTCTTTTCTTCTCAACTTCTTTGGTGTGAAACCGAAATCCATTAACAACAAACCTGTCATGTTGGATTCCAACAACATCTGGACCTTTAGCAAGGAACCTCAACTCTCTCAACACCGAAACATTTTGAGAAAGTTCTAACTTGTCAATCTATAAAAAAAAAAGTAAATAAATAAAAAAAAAAGAAGATGAAACTATATTTGAAGTCCTACAATTCAAATTGTACTTAATATTCAGAATTTTACTTACATGTTCAGCAAACCAACATGCAAAATTTTCGCTGTGCAAGCGCTCTTTTAGATGCTGTGGAATTTGAGGATGTCCTTCTTCTATCAATATACGATGCTGCCTAGAAGTACATGAGTCAAAATTGTAATCATGCATTGAATTCTACAATAAAATTTTAATGCATCAAGTTGTAGTTGAACTTACTCTATGTAAGGTGTGACAGCATCACAATTAAATAAAATATACTGATGTGCTTTACTCAAGATATGAGCATCAAAGACTGTTGGCTTGGACAATTGAATTTTGTCTCAACATAGTCCGCAAGATACAATGAGCAAAAGTTAATGCATTCTTCTGCCAAGTAGCCTTGAGCAATCGAACCTTCAGGCCTACTTTTATTTCGAACATAAGATTTTAATGTTCCTAAGTACCTAAAGTATCATCATTCCAACCTCTCTAATTAGTTCCACAATCAAAGAAAGCAAAAAAGGAATAAACATTTAAGGCATAATGAGAATTACAAGCAGTACCTCTCTATAGGATACATCCAACGATAATACACCGGGCCACCTAATTTCACTTCAGTTGCCAAATGAACAACTAAATGCACCATGACATCGAAGAAGGTTGGTGGGAAGCATTTCTCAAGATCACAGAGTATGACGGCAATTTCACTTTCCAAACGAACCACATCTTGAGGACAAATAACTTTAGAATAAAGCTGCCTGAAGTATCTACTCAATCGAATCAAAGGATAGCGCACTGATTTTGGCAAAGTCTTTCTCAAAGCTATAGGCATCAATTGCTACATTAGGATATGATTATCATGACTTTTAAGCCCTGAAATTCTTGGTGGTTTTACTCGAACGCATCTTGAGACATTAGCTGCATAACCATCTGGAACTTTCACTTTTTTTAGCACATTGCAAAACATAGTTTTCTGTTTTTTATCCATTGCAAAGGAAGATGGAGGTAAGTACACCTTTCCAGGTTCTGTCTCAATGGGATGCAGCTCTTTTCTTATTCCCATTTCTCTCAAATCACGGCGGGAATTATAATGGTCCTTTGCTTTATCCTCAATATCCAGCAATGTCCCCCAAATATTTTCACAAACATTCTTCTCAATGTGCATGAAGTCAAGATTGTGTCTTAAGACATTATCTTTCCAATATGGCAAGTCAAAGAAAATACTCCTCTTTTTCCAATTGAAAGGCAGCTTCGGATTACCTTTCACAAGTTTTCCAATTTTAATTTGCAAGTCTCCCAATTCACTCACAATCATATCCCCGGTTTGCAAAGGTGGTCGCTTTCCATGTTCTTCGGTGCCATCAAAGAATTGGGCTTGCTTTCTAAATTTATGCTTACTATCTAAGAATCTCCGATGACCCATATAGCAATATTTGAAACTATGAGTCAACCATCGTGCATGAGTGAACTTGTGACAAACAGGACAAGCATATTCACCTTTAGTGCTCCAGCCAGATAACATTGCATATCCAGGGAAATCACTAATGGTCCACAACAGAGCTGCATGCAATTGAAAATTTTCTTTTTGGGATGCATCATAAGTTTGAATGCCAAAATCCCACAATTCGGTCAATTCTTTAACTAGAGGCTGTAGATAAACATCAATATTATTCCCAGGAGAGGATGGTCCGGGTATTAACAAGGACAACATGAAGTACGGTTGCTTCATACACATCCACGGAGGTAAGTTATATGGTATTAAAACTACAGGCCAAGTACTGTGTGTAGAACTCATGTTGTTGAATGGATTAAACCCGTCAGATGCCAACCCCAATCTAACATTTCGACAATCCTTAGCAAATTCTGGATGTAGATGGTCAAAAGTTTGCCAAGCTGGAAAATCAGCTGGATGTCTCATACAACCATCTTTTGTACGTTTTTCCTCATGCCATCTCATTTGAGACGCAATTTTAGAAGACATAAATAGTCTTTGTAATCTAGGTTTTAAGGGAAAATGCCACAACACTTTTTGAGGAATTTTCCTTTTTTCGCCAGTTGGATCATTTTCTGAAGCAACCCACCTAAGCTCGTTACATGTTTCGCATGAAGTTCTTTTTTCAGCACTACCCCAATAAAGAGAACAATCATTAGGACATGCATCGATCTTTTCATAACCCAGCCCCAATGTATTCATCAATTTCTCAGCCTCATAGTAAGAAGAAGGCAAATTAGTCATGGCCTTTGGAAATGCTTCTCTCAACAGCTCAACAAGCGTATTAAAAATCTTGTTACTCATCTTACCCAGGCATTTTAGGTGAAGCAAACGAATAATGAAAGACAATTTCAAGAAATTTTTGCAACCACTGTACAAATCCTGTTGAGAATCATCAATCAATTTGTAAAATTTTTCAGCATCTGAAACAGGAATGTCCCCTTCTCTATTCAATTCATTTGTTCCATATGGTATCCCAAATACATCATGGACCAAGTCTTGCATGTCATTAGTCCCATTTGAAACCCCAATTGATGTATTTTCAGAATTAGATGTGGCTTCATTGTAGTTTGAAAGTTCTCCATGTGCTATCCAATTATTATAATCCTTGATAAATCCTACCACTTTCAAATGATCATATGCTTCCATTTTTGTCACACAAACACCCATGCCGCAATCTTTGCAAGGACACAAAATCTTTCCGTCACAACTTGATCTGGAAAATGCAAAGTTTAGAAACATTTGAAGTCCTGTCTCGTACTTTTCACTTGTTCTTGGAAAATCCATCCATCTTTTATCCATACTTTGAATATAAATAAATGTCCTCCAACAAGCTTCCAAGAGCATGAAAACAACAACTACACATTAGTACTTAGAAAACTAGACAAATCCCATAAAATCATTGAGAATAAGAAGCGCCCTGATTTTTTAAACTCAGGCCATGGCTTACAAGTCCCTAATTTCAAGTTCAAGAATTTACAGTCTACTAAATAAAGCAGCCCAGCAAATAAAGGAAATCAACAAAATGTAAAATTTCTCAACAATCTGTAAAAACAGAATTTGCAAGCAAGCGGATAGAAATTATATTTACCTAATACCAGAACAAAGCCCTTCGCACCAACTCCTGCACTCGCGTCTTCGCAAAACTCCTAACTTCAATCTGAAATGTCAAAGGTTAAACAAACACATGAGCATGATTGTTCAGGATTCTTTTGGTCCCAGGATTGTCCCAGGATTCTTTTAAGTTGCTATGACTGTTCAGCTAATTGATCTAGAAACAGGACTAAATTGAGAAAAAAAAACAGAACCCGTAAGGGTGCTATGTCATCCTGAACTGGGAGGGGTGGAAGTTCGACAAGAAAATGGATAGGGGAAGAAAAAAAAGAAAAAAGACTAAAAAATACAATACAGTTTTACACGAAATCCTGCTATTTTCTTGTCTGGTAAATTCAATGCCTACGCGCCATCACAATTAAAAGTTCGTTGGGGTAGTTGCACTCCTTCACCTCCTTTTCTCCTGTAAATCCCTCTCTTTCCCTACTTTCCAAAGCATCCAAAGTTTCATTCTTCTCCAAAAGTTTCTTCTTGATTCAATCTTTCGAGTATTTCCTTCAATCCATCTTTCAAACTTTAGTTTTGCTAGCTGGGTATACCACATTATGGCCAAATTAGTAAGGGTGCTATGTCATCTATGACCAATGTGCAGTTCAACAAGAAGTCCATTAATTAAGTCCTTAAATATTAATTTTCATCAACCTATTTCTTAAACTTTTGCACTTGTCTTGCAAAAAGGTCATTCTAGTCACCCCATTGCTATTTTGATCTTCATCAAAGAGCTTCCAAGTCGATTTCTATTCATAGCCTAAACAGAGCTTCAATTACAACTAAGTTTCATATATTAACATTAAAAGAGATTCACAGAAAAAAATGAAAAACAGGGGGGAATTGACATTTTATTGAACAGGTTATGGGCAACAGCTTCATTGTGTTTACCACTTCAATTTTGGAACAAGATATGCGCACCTGAAGTATCTTCCCGCTTTCCCAATGTAGAGCTCCGTTCTTCAGCTTTTACTTCCTGCCTGCCCTTTCAGATGTCTTAGCCGAGGGATTTAAAGTTGAGGTTAGAAAAGATGAAGATGGTTGTTTGCGGAGATAGCTTCGATTGCTACCAACATTCTGGACTGGCCGAGATAGCTTGTATGCTAAGAGGTGAGAGAGATGAGAAGAAGAAAATTTTCACCAAGTCCTTTTGCCGGCAAAATGAAACTTCACAGTACTTCAGCAAGTGTTTTGGAGCCAAAATAAAACGATGTCGTTTTCTGTGTTTTTTCATTTTTTTTTTTTGTTCATCTCACAGTTTCCAGAGTGTCATCATAGGTAGCCTAAAGGCACATTATTATTTGTATATCATGATAAAATAAAAAAATTATAGTACATATTATTGAATTTATTAATAAGTGTCATGATATGTTTACTATAATGGCAGAAACCAGCAAATGTCCTTATAGACATGTCAGGAAAGGTCATTTTTGTTGTAGTGCCGTTGTATTATTAGAATTGAACATTTTATTCGAGTGACCAGTTATTTAGGTAAGTACAATATGTCGCATCTCTATGAGTCCTGTATTTAGGCATATATTATTGGTTAAAAAATTTTGTGTTTGATATGTATTTCTTATACTTTTTATAAAATTATTTCTCATCCTTATTATATTTGTCTACCCTCTATTTGGAAATGCAAAATTATACCTCACTGAATTCACCAACACAAAGCCTCCAAAAAAATAAAAAAGAAACAAATACCCTCTAACTCTACTAATATTTTAGATAGCAGTTCAATATGGAGCATAGGGACGCAAGTGACAAGATGCTGAAAACATGCAATAATGCATTTTCAATCTTATGTTTAAGGGGTGATAAACAGCTCGAGGATGATTGTACAAGACTTACGTGAGTTGTTTAATAAAATCTCTGTTTCTACGAAGAAAAAGAAAAAGAAAAAGAAAAATCCCTTCCTACCCTTTCATTCGAAGGCTATGGTAAATGCTAAAGACTTTTCATCTATTTTGTCTTTTTCAAGTTTGCCAATGCTTAGATATTAATCACTTGGGTATGGATTGGATTGGATTGTAAGATGCGAGAAATTATAAGTAAAAGATTTTAGATTCAAAACCTCTACCATACAAAAAAAAAAAAAAGATGTTAATCACTTGTCAGTTGACACACATAGGCACTGACACTATTACTGCCAAACATATATATCTCTTCTACTTTCAACTACTAAGTCCTTCTCCCTTCTAAAATATTTAAATTACCAAACAATTACTTATAACACTTTTTAAACTGCATTCTTTTTTAATTTTCACCTTTAAAAAATTTTATTTTATTTTTTACAATAATACTCCTATGATAAAACCGATACTTATGCACCACCACACACATGCATGCACATTTGATAAGAGAATCAACCATTGTAGTTATATTCCTTTCAGACCGAAACGACAAATATGGGACTCGTGTCAAATTTGTCTCTCTTCTTTTAGAGGCTTCATTGTTGCCAAAGAACATGAACTCTTTTTTTTTTTTGTCTTTCTATTTGCAATTGCATTTGTCTCTCTTCTTTTAGAGGCTTCATTTGTTGCCAAAGCACGTGAACTGTTTTCTTGTCAAATTATGGTTGCCTAATACTGTAGAATATTCTTAAGATGCTATATAAGTACTAAATCTTCAGCCTTTCATCGTATATCTAATTATTTTTGGACTTTCTGCAAGGGTGCATGGGTCAATGCAACTCTCTTTGTCTGCATCTCACGTGTTTGTTGATTAACTGACTAATCAAACTGTGAGAAACATCGTCTAACTTTTGTATCTTGTAAGTTTGATTAATCATAAAATAATTACAACCTATGACTTGCTTAATTATCATTTGTTTAGGTATGAACAAAATTACAAGTAAGTAGAACACACCTTTTTTCATTTATTTTTTTTGTGTTAATGGGAGGGTTCAAACCCGAGACATCTCATTTACACTCCCTCTTTCGTATCACGCAATCCATCCTTAAGATTCTTCTAATCAACTAAGTAATTAAGTAGTAAGATTTAGTACTAAAAATAGAAGCATTATATATGTATAAAAGTTGATGCGGTCAAAGAAAAAGGCAAGATGCTTTGAACTGCTAAAATCAATATTATATCCAGTTAGCTATTAATAAAAAGTTGAAGTGCTTTTAATTCTTAATGTCTAATTAATTGAATAGATTAAAGTTTTGATTAAAACCCTGGCTCCATTTTTATCTCGTGTTAAATTGTCTTATTTATTACATATCTTCTTCAATAGCCAATATGCTTTTGGTCTAAATTAAATTGTTTGCAAGACTTTGCGAATCTTTTGAAGTCTTAGACAGTAGATAATCAAGCACCTAAAGGACAAAGGAATTAGCAACAATTATCCAGTGCAAAAACCAACCACAACGATTTTGTCCATATGCAAACGATTTGTTCTGTACTGTAACAAGTTTTCCCCCCAAAAAAAGTATGGAAATTCGAAGGTCTAATTGTCACAAATGATCAGATATTCAAGTTCCAAACAGCACAAGCAACCCAATTGTAAGAAGTAAAGTGGAATTAAGTAGAATTTGTACAGAGAACCTAGGATTTAGAGGTCTTGAATTCAAATCACCATTTTCCCTCTCTACTTTTTAAATCTCACCCTTCTCCCTACTTGCTTCTTAAATCCCACCCTTTTGTATAATGCCACTTTATATATTCAGCATAATGCCACTTTATACTGCTTCCTAGTCATTTTCTTTGGCCCAAAAATTAAAGTTGAGAATTTAAAGTCATCTATTTTTTAACCAATCGACTAGGGCTGTTGTCAAACCGAGCCGCTCGTGAGTTGTTTGGTTAAGAGCTCGGAGTCGAGTTCGAATGGCTCATTTATATATCAATTCGTGTTCGAGTGTGTATTTTCTAGGCTTGACGAGCCTTATTGAGCACAGTATAATTAATTAATAATTATATATTTAATTATTACATTTTTTGCTCTTTTAGGATTGGAAGTTGTATAAATTACCAGAATATCATCTCTGCCTTCTGATATCCTTATGGGTCATATAGTCATTTTGCATGGAAATAAAAATAAAATTAGGCATAAGTGTAACAAAATTGGGCTTTTCAATTTCTCCTCAATTTCCAATTCACCTTCTTCTTCCTGCTGAAGCTCTTGATGAAGTGATGAAGACGAACAATACAAGCTTGAAGCTAAGCTTCCTTCTCAATCTTCATGTCAAATTTACCCATCTTCTCAATCTTCTCCATCTTCTAGCTTGAGCTTTCTCTAGTAACTGATTTTGCCGAGAGGTTCGGTTTTAGGAATTAGGAATGCACAAACCCCAAGTTGTGGAATTCCCCATTACTGACCTTGCTTTCTTGAGCTTTGGTCATTAGTTGGAAAAAGGTAAATAATGGAAATTACTGTTGTAAATAATTGAGCATTTCAAAAAATTTTGTCCTGCATTAGAAAAATAAAGAGACTTCCAATCACTTTTTAATGCTTAGTTAGGTATTGGGCTTGTGATAAATTGGTAACTAGTATGGGCTCGTGCGCATGAGACAGAAATTGAGTTGGGCGTATTCAGTGCAAACTAATGGATTTGCCCCCCCACCCT